CTTGTACCTTGCCTCTGCAGTTTCCTCCTCTCCCATCTCCCCAAATGTCCCCTTTACCATATTTCTGAGATCAAGTTCCCTGCTTCAGAGAAGCGACTGGCATGGTTCTTTCCACACCAGGCCTAAGTGCAGGTAGAACAGTTAAGAGTGTGAACTTCCACTTCTGAGCATGGAGCTCTGTCTAGGGACCATATATATTCTCTCCCTTAAATATGTACAAAACAAAAATGTAAAACACATTTTAAAACCAGAGATGGTTGGGAAAACCAGAGAGCAGCTTTAATTATTGAAAGGCCATTCAAACAGTATCATCTTCGCATATTACATAGGGGACCCATGTGCAATTCTATAGGTACCGAAAACTCATCTTAAGTCTATAAAATGTTGCACCAGACTGTCTAGCATATACTATTACAATACTGGATTTTCCCTAGTCTAAGTTGACAAGGGAAATTATAAAATCATTAGATGATGATGATTCACATGAGACAGGAATTGTGAAGCAAACAAACAACACTGCACAAGATGTTCAACGGATCTCAAAATCATTGTTGCCCTAAGTTTCTGAGACTGCTAGAACTGCTTCCCTCCAGGCAGGCCTCTGCACACGGAGTACTTCACTTTCTACTAACATTACAAAATCATCCATTAAAATGAATGGAATATATTCAGGGAAGCTATCTGTAAATCGCCTTGCAGTTGCTTTGGGACTGGTTCTTGCACATTAATTTGCTTTACAAACAGCACAAAAACACCCTCAGACAAAGTTTGCCTTTGGAATAGAACTGTTAAAAGGATAAGACATTTAAAGAACCTAGCCAAAAGACCTTAATATTCTTTGCAGCTCAGAAAATGCTCCTGGCAATACATTTAGTATTCTGTTCCACAGGGTCCAAGTGTGCATGAAATTATAATGTAAAACATTTCTTTTCTTATTAGGGAAGCTATCCAATTATACTTAGGATGGATAGCAATCAGAGGATTTCTACTCCTTTCACAGTCAGAATAGATGAAATCATTCTTGCAAGTGTTATATGAACTCCAGACTTTGGTTAGTACCTGGCTGATCAGCTGCCCTGCTCTACAGATGACCCTGTCAGGGAGAAGCGCCTGCCTCACATTTTTCCTAGTTCCATTTGCTCAGACTGTGACTACTTTCAAATATTCCCATTGGCACAGCTGTGACAAACACAGCAAAACAGGTTAGCTTTGTAAACCATGGTCCTGGAGAAGGAGAGGGGAGCACAAAAGTCCAAAAGAATGCCAGGTTCACTCATGTCTTGCTAATCCAGGAGTGAGTAAACCTTTTCAGCTCTGGGGCCAAGTTCTGTTTTGTAGATCTTAGCAGCCACATTCTAATGGTGGGTGGGGCTGTATCCAAGTGTAGTGGTGCCCCTTGCCTGCTGTAACATTCTAGCATATTATAATTTAAGGCTGTAAATAAACCATCCTAGCAATAAATCAGTTGGGAGTGAAAAATGGCTGCTCTGGGTACACATTCTCAAGGAGTGCTGGCTGGGCTTCAGCAGAATCAGGAGGAGGAGGAGAAAAGCAGACCGGGGCTGGGAATGTGGGCTTTTGGGGGAAACAGCAAGTCTTAGGGGCTCATTTGCAGCATCAAGAGGGAAATTTATTAGCTGCCATATGGGGCTCTCCCATGATTCCTACAGGAGTGTCAAATTTTCTTATTGTGGTCCAACAGCCTTGAAAACTCCATTTCGGGAAGATGCATCTTCATGAACTTGTTGAAATACCTGCAAGCATAATCTCATCCTTCTTCCCAACACCCTTCTAAGCCTGAGTAGGACTCTTATTTACAGCCGGGCTGCTGTTCAAACTTGCCTCCCCCCAATCCCACCTCCACCTAGCTGAAGAAACCATTCAGGCAGCTAGGGATTGGCAAAGGAGGCTCACCTCAATGTGATCAAAGACTTTTGAAAATACAGCAGAGAGGGACGGTGTGGCATTGTTCTTGTCTTTCATCTTTTTGGCTTGGGATCACAGCTTAAGGCCCGGTCCTATTTGGAGACCCATGCTTAAGTAAGAGCAGGTTTAGGTAACTTTTGGGGGAGGGGCTGAGCTATTGTATCAAAATGAACACCAGTTTTTATATGTGTCTGATTCCCTTTCTCCCCTTCCCCTCTGTAAACAAGCTTTAACATTCAGTCGTTGAGTGTATGCTTCCTTCCAAGTAAGCCTTCGTTCTAAAGCCAGAGCCTTCTGCTTGGCTAATTGGCACTGTTTAAAGCTTCAAGCCTAGTGATTGAAAAAGGGTGTATGTGGCTGGGACTAGTACTACTTAAGCCCTTAAAGTGTCTGGTAAGATCTGACAGTCCCTTGGCTCAGGCTGAGGTGGATATAAGGGGTTGTGGCCACACAACTAGGAGTTCAGGCCTTCCTTCCCTTCATTAGGAGTCTTACTTCACACCAACTGTTTTGCAGGTAGAATGTCATGCTGACTTTGACAACAGAATGCACCCCTGAAAGCACAGGATTCCAACTAAACTTCCATTTTTCTCTGCCATGTTCCCAACCCTACTAGAATTCCTCCCTTCCTTGTCCTGCTAGATTATGGCTCAAGCTGGCAGTAATATCCCACCAATGCCAGGGTGATGCCATGTGGTAGTTTACAG